GCATTTTTCTCTGTGTGGGAATATGCAAGAGTCTGGGCTCATTGAAATCATCCCTTTGATATGCACCAGAACTATCTAGGGCCAGGATCCTGCTTTTTTCCATACTGAATCCCCTCGGGGTGCACAGTCTGGCTGACGGCTCGATGGCCACAACATCTTTTGTTTATTGATACAATACGGCAAGCGACACATTCTTTGTGCACAGCAGTATAGCGCCTCTAAACAGAAGGAGGGGCCAGATGGGGGGAACTGAATGGTGTGTGCCTTGGTCTAATGATTAAGAAAGCTTCCTGGAAAAGGCTGACTGATCATTTCTCCCCACACTAAGCTATCAGTATAGGTGGCACCTATGAGTTCCTTTATGCTGCATTTATACTGATTAGCATTAAAAAGCAAAGAAATAGTGTTATCGGGAAGAGAAAGGGACCCTCAACTTTTGGAAACCTGCTTATTTGCAATCATTTTAGTCGGGCTCTTGGTTTAGAAGAATCAATGTCCTAGCCCTCTGCCCACTACGTGCTTCCCTCCAACCATCACCGCTGTTTCAACTCTACTCAACGCTTTAGGGCCCAAACGAAATCCTGCCTTGTTCATGCAGTTCTTCCTGTGATCTTCACTGGGCGCACGCTCTGAACGTCTAGTTTCTTTTCCTCTTGGGACACTGCTCATATTCGGTCTGATCAAGTATTGGGGGTACAAGGCATTTTCCCTAGAGTCTGGGCGTAAGTTTTACCATCGTTGTCTCACAAGTATCTACGACAGTGCTTGACACACAGTAAGTGTTCAACAAACACGGAAGTGAAGGGGAAAGTTGCCCAGATTGTTTAGGCCAGCTCTAATCTGCATAGTCTAGAAACAAGGCTGCTGAATGGCTGACTAGCTCCACAGATGATAACTAAATACAATATAGGTATTGCTATATTGTTATCACACTCCTGACGCAGGGCCTCTGCACTTGCCGTTTCCTCTGCCTAGAAGCCTCTTAGACATGCACCTAGTTCTTTCCCTCATCTGCTGATCTTTGCTCAAATACTACCTTCAAAGAAAGGCCTTCCCTGTCTATCCTATTTAAAACCTCAACTCCCCCACTGCTATGGTTCGAATGTTTGTGTCCTCCCAAATTCATATGTTGAAATTCTAATGCCCAAAGTGATGGTAATAGGAGGTAGGGCCTTGGGGAGGTGATTAGATCATGAGGGTGAAGCCCTCTGTAATGAAATTAGTGCCCTTATAAAAGAGACCCCACAGAGCTCTCCAGCACCTTCCACCATGTGAGAACACAATGAGAAGTCTGCAACCAGAGAAGGTTCTCCCCCACCCATGCTGACACCCTGATCTCAGACTTCCAGCCTCCAGAACTGTGAGAAATATATTTCTGTTGTGTATAAGCCACCCAGTCTGTGGTATTTTGTTATGGCAACTTGAATGGATTAAGAAACTCCCCCCTCCTCCAACATCTCCCTATTTTTTTCTGATTTATTTTTCTGTATATCACTGATCACCATCGAATACATATATATGGTTTACTTCTTTACTTTTTCTTATTTCCTATTCCCCCCTCACATCCTAGAATATAAACTCCATGAAGCAGAGATCTTTATAAACTGTGTTCAGTCTTTATCCCCCAGTGCTTAGGATAGTCGGTGGCAGATTAAGCACAAAGTAGGTGCTCAGTGAATAGCTAAGGAATAAATTTTTTAAATGAATCACAAAGCACCTGTAAAATACTTACCTCTACTTGGCACTGTGCTTGATCCTGCACAAGACAACTGCTAGAAGCCAGGAAACTGTAACCTGATCAAATACCTGCAGCCCAGCGTGTCTGCACAGTGATGGGGCACGCAGAGCAGGTGTCTCCCCTGATGTATCACCAAAGGCTGGGAACATGCTTCATTCAGTCTCCTATACCTCCTCCCTTAATAACTCAAGAACCACTAGGAGAATGAATGGCTACACTGTAAGGCACTGATAACATGTGATAAAGGAGTTCAGACATGGAAGAAGCCAGTTTATAGACATCACTATGAGAAGAAGTGTGGTGGTCAGCTTCTAAGACATCCCCCCAGTGGTCCTGTTCTTCTGGCATTACCATCCTTGTATGGTCCCCAGCCACAAGGAATCAGGACTCCCCTGTGTGACTGACAGAATAACTTCCACAGCTGGGTCAGAAAAAGTATTTTAGCTCCTGCCTTGGTGTCTTGGCTCTCTCACTCTTTGGAAGGCGCCTATGCTCACCACTACACCACCAACGTATCCCTCACTCTTTGGGAAGCCAGCTCCCATGCTGTGGTGATACTCAAGCAGCGCCATGGAGAGGAACTGATTCACCAGCATCAACTTGCCAGCTATGTAATGGAACCACCTTAGAAGTAGATCTTCTAATCCTGGAAAAGTCTTCAGATAACTGAAGCCTCAGCCAACATCCGATTTCAACCTCATGAGAGATCCTGAACCATGTGGACAAAGAATTCCACCTGCCATATCAGCAAACAAAGGATGTTGTAGCCATCAAGCCCTCAGCCACTGCATCTGTCCCCAGCTGTGCACCCTGAGGGGATTCAGGATGGGAAAGAACAAGATACTGGTCTTAGATAGTTAAGGTGCACATCAGAGGAATGATTTCAATGAGCCCAGACACTTGCATCTTCCTATACAGAGAAAAAATGGTAAATTCACTAACTTGAGATGTCTGGTTTTTTTTAATTAACAGTAATCTTTTGATGTTCTGACTACATGCAAAAACTCCTATATATCCTGGCTCCTCCCTCACCTCTTCCGAGCAGTCCCTCAGAGCTATCTGAGAAGCTGCTTCCCAGGCTTAAGTCCTCAGAAATTCTGCCAAATAAAAAAACATAATTCTCAACATTTTTTTTTCAGTCAACAAACAGAAGCAGCTAAGTGAGCCTGTCCTGAATTCCTGATCCACAGAAATCATGAGAGGTAATGAATGATTACTACTGCTTTAAGCCACGAATTTGGGGAGATCTGTTACACAGCAGTAGATAACTAATACAAGAGGTATCAGAAATGACTTCCACAAAGGAAGTAGGGCTTGAAATAGAGACCTCAAAGGAATTGTAGGAATAACAGAGGCAAAGCAGTAAAGAGGATACAGGGAAAACCATGAGCAAAGGCAGATACAAATATTAAACAGAAACCATACCCATACAGAACCTCAGGATTGGAAACAAATCTTAAAGGTCAATTTAGTCCAACCTTTCATCTAGTGCTAGAGTCTACTTTAAAAATAAAACAACTAAGGCAGGGACTGCATGAATTTATCTAAGCTAAAACCCAGAAGAAGGCTGAGTCCTTACAGTGGCCCTCTGTGTAATGATATAATGAGGAGTATTTAGTCATAACAGAGACCATATTCCTGCATTTGAACTGAGGTCATTCCTGGAAGTGATTTAATAAGAAATTGAGGGGGAAGGAAGATGGAGTGCAGAGGAGGGGAGAAGAAAGACAAAAAGTAGGAGAAGCAGAAGAAACAGAAGCAGGAGAAGGAGGAAAAGAAGGGGATCAGGAAGAAGAACAATAACAGCTCTACAACAACAGAAGATGAAAGAGGAAAACACTGATTTATTGAAATGCTGTGTGGTGGGCACTGTCCTAAGTTCTTTAAACACATCATCTCATTTTACCCTCACAACAGCTCCAAAACCTCAAATTATTTTAGCTCTGCTTCTTCCCTTCCTTTCCAGGAGTCTTCCCCTCACCCTGTTCTCCAGATTTGAGGTAGAGAAAGTGGACAAACCACAGAGAGGAAGGATTAAAACATCATGCATCTGACCTCTTGTCAGGAAAAATCTGAGAATACAGTTAAGGCTCTAGAGGGTCCAATCAAGAAAGAATCCACCCACATATTTGGGGCCTTCCCTTCACTGAGGATATAAGGCCAGATTTCCTGGGCTGCTGGTCAGCAAACCTCTAATCAAAGGAAGAATAGATCTGAGATGGGAAAGAAAAAACCTAGAGCGTTCTCTGTCCCAAGATATGATGTTTTACTGATCCCAAAGTTGGTTCTTTTAGAGGCCAGTAGTAGACCTAAGAACCCCAACTGGAGGAGGGATTCCTCCACAAAGCTAATAGCCTATTTGTGAAGTTGATAGGAAGCATTTGCCTTTGACCCAAAGAAGCAGGAGGGAGCTTGTTCTGTAGGTAGCCACTTCACAAGATGTTGCCATGTGTACAGTGGTATAGGAAGGGAGGGGGACATCCAGGTCAAGCCAGAGGATATCAAGTTAGTGACCATCTCCCACGCTTTTCATCCTCCTGGGAGAAGAGAGCATATGTCAAACTAGTATTAGAGAATATAGTTTTCAAAACTTAACTCAAGATGCTAAAATAGCTGATTATACTTCTAGGAAAACAAACATAGAAAATTAAATTTTAAAAGTATACATACAGCCTATACCAATTAAAGGCCTATGGATTAATAGTCAAAACATCTGAACATCTCTAAGGTCAGGAAAACTAAACCTTTAACACATGCCATACTAATGGCATTGATAATGGACATGAAAGGGTAACCAATGAGAAAAGTCGTAGGGATGCTAGCCAAGATCTCCTATACATGGGGTCAATGAAACACGCTGAAAATAGGTTAAGAGGATGCCCAAGAAGTGTTTACGGAAAGAATGGTCATAAAAATGATTTCTCAGAAAAAAAAATGGCATGACCTCTGAAACAATGGATGTACTGGAATTATCAACCAGATAGGCCAACTTGATTTGCAAAAGGATGCTTTGCTGCCCAATCCACAGGGTCAGAGAAAGCAATTAGTACCATTCAGCTCTAGCAAATTCCCAGAGCACACAGTCTCAGGTAGAGAGAGGTATTCTGTGCCTCTTTGCATTTCCCCATGGCCCAAGCACAAGGCCACACACAGCAGGTATGTGGCTGAAGGGGGCGCTAATGATAACACACACTCCACACCCTCAAGGAGGTCAGAGCCAAAGGTGCTGAGGTCCCAGCTGCTTCCCCTGCTCTGGGTTTACCATCATTGAAGCTGTCACTGGCGGTGACGTGGGCGAACGGTGACTGGGCCCGAGGCTCCTCACACAGGGAGTAGCTGTGCTCAGCCTGAATGAGAGGTGCCGGGGACGTTGGGGACGGCTCTACCTCCATCGACACACTCTTCTCTGAGAGGAAAGGGTCGTTCAGGAGCTGGCCCAAGACGTTCTGGGAAAACTCATCCAGCAGCTCCGAGAAGTGCTACAAGAAACAAAGGAGGAAGGACTCAGTTTCTCTTAACCATGATCTGACATTTACACACATGTTCTAAAGCAAAAATATCATCCACTGCTTCCGATGAAGTCCCTTATACACAATGTCCAGTTATCTGTTGCTGTGTAGCAAACCACCCCAAAGAGTGGTGGCTTACAACAGCCAAGAGTTACTATCCCTCACCACTCTGTGGGTTGGCTGGGTGGGTGTGCTGATTTCACCTGGGTTCACTGACAAAGGCACAATGAGCTGGACGGCTGGAGGGGGCTGGGCTGGGACACTGGACGCCTGGGCCTTTTTCTCAAAGAGGCTCTAGCAGGCTGGGAGTCCTCATAGGATGGTAGAGATGTTCCCAAAGGGAGAAAACCAAAGCTGCATGGCCTCAGAGGTCACACATCATCACTCCCTCCACATTCTTCAGGTCAAGGCAAGTGAAAACGCCAGCCCAGACTCATGGGGTGGGAAAATAGACACCACCTCTTGACCAGAGGAACTGCAAAATCACATCGCAGGCAAGTGTAAACAGGATGGCATGACTCACTCGGGGCCATCACTGGAACTATCCACCACATTTTGCATTGGGAATATTTTAAAATAAGCTACCTTGTATTTTTGAAGCATGGAAGTGTTATTTATAGCCAAGTGCCAAGTTCAAAGGCATCAGAGGCAGCTTCCCTCTGTTCTCCCAAGTACCTGGGCTTTGTCCCTTTCTAGTTTTTCCTTAATCTCCTTAATCTCTTCTCATCTTCCATCTCCAACAGCAACACCTCCCTACCCACCGCCATGCCATGACAATGATACAGAAATGGTCTATACATATATTCACAGGGAGTCCTATATCCCTCGTTCCATGGTCCCACATTAAAGGACTGTAGCCCCATCTACTCTCCCTCACTGATAGGGGGATGTTCATGATATGAGGGTCTGTAGAGCTGGGTTTCTCAACCTCAGCACTACTGACATTTTAGATGGGTGATTCTTTGTTATGGGGGGGCAGGGTTGTTCTGTGCATTGTAGGATGTTTAGCAGCATTCCTGGCCTCTACTCACTACATGCCAGTAGCACTCCCCTAGTTGTGAAAACCAAAAATGTCTCCAGCCACTGTCAAATGTCCCTTGGCCAGGGCCAGGGGGGTGGGGGTGGGGGTAAGGGGAAGATCACCCTTGGTTTAGAACTACTGCAGTAGAGTATATTAAAAATAATTATAATTTAATTTAAAATTTCACTTGATACCAGCTGTTAGAGCCACTTCTACCTTCTTAATGTTCCCTGAGTCACAGACCAACAGGTGTCATCCTTATCGATTAAACTTTAGGGACACGTCTGGTATAGAAAGGAAGTTAGGAAAGCAGGTCCAGCAATAAGAGAACTGATTGCAAATGGTGATACTTGGGGTAGACAATGAAAACTCTTGGGATTTGCAGAGCAACTAAGTCCTACCATTGAACGGGAGTGTCAGTGAAGGTGTTATGAAAATGAATGCAGCTTGGGGAAGGGGGGGGCAGGTGGTAACCCTAAGGTTAGAGCTCTAATATTAGGATAGTTGTAGGGCAGAACTTCTGCTTTTGTAAAGGAGAGAAGCAGACAACAGAGAGGAGGCCTTGCAGGCTAGGTCCTTAAGGCAGAGTTAGATTGCTGGGTTTCACCAACAGCACAAACACGAGCTATGGCTGCATCTCATCAGGACAGAAGGCAGAGAAGCCACAGGCCTTGGGCACATCCTAATAGGCATGGGTCATCTGTGAGAACAAGACAGGGTGGTTGGGAGAGGGTTCTCTGTATACAAACATATTTAGAACTGAAAGGTCCTTAGAAGCATCTAAGGCAAGAATTCCCAGGTGCCAACTGTCTGCTTCACAATCACCAGAAGAATTTTGTTGTAGTTGTTTTATAATGGAATATTTCAAGCATTCAGAAAAATTAGAGAAAATAGAACCATAAATAATTACGTATTGATTCCTTTTTAAAAAATTATTTTTCCACATTGTTACTGGAACATTTTTTCTTTACTCTTTCTTTCTTTTTTAAAAAATAAAACATGAAGCTCCTATCCAATCCCCTTCTTTCCTCTCAGAGTTAACTACTACCCTGAACTTGGTGTTTATTTTTCCCGTCTAGGACTTTACACTTTTACTACATAAGTATGTTTCTATTACAAACATACGGACTTTTTAAACTTTAAGTAAACAGCACCATACTTCACACCTCCTCTGCAAATTTCTTCTTGCAAAAAACTTTTTAGGCTTATTCATGTTTACATGTGTAGCTCTATTTCATTCAGTTCAATTTCTGAATTGTATTACATTGTACTTATCCATTTCCTCTTGAGGGACATTTAAAGATTTTTTTCATATATGCTATTGTAATAAACATTATTGAACATAAAGGGAAATTTTAAAACATACCAATCCTATGACCCATCGTCAGAGCTTTTGACTTAGTAGGTCAAAGACAACAATATAAAAACCATGACTACCACCTGTGATTCTAATGTTCATGTCAGTTTTTCAACCATTGAAGGTTGACCGCATCTCCACTCACCACCTCTCTCCCTACACCACTTTACAATTAAGTCCCTGGAAGTTTACAAAGTCACTGGAAGCTTACAAAGTCCCTAGAAGTTTGGACATGCTCAAGGTCAGAGAAAGATTCATGGATTTTGCAGCCATCATGGGCTAAACTTTAGATAGGTCCTGTGGATGTAAAGTAATAAAGAAGAAGACAGAAAAAACCCTGCCTTCCTTGAGCTGATCATGTAGACCAGTGCTTTTCAAACTTTTATGTGCATATGAATCACCTGGGGATCTTAAGGCATAGATGCTGATTCACAAATCTAGGTGGGCCCGAGATTCTGCATTACTGATCAGCTCCCAGGTAATGCTGCTGGCCCATGGACCGGACTTTGCATGGCAAGGAGTGGAACAGCTTCAAGGCTAAGACTAGGATGCAGGTTTCCTGACTCTCTGATAACATGAAGCCAGGGTCTGATTCCCTAAGCGGCTCCCCAAAGACAAATTTACTGGTTACCTGAGGGTGAATATTCTGCAAGCGTTTGATGGGATTCTTTTCAAGACCCAAATTAAGGAAACAAGAAGAGAAATAAATGACACAATGTAAAATGCAAAAGCAAGACTTGAACTCACAATCCCTGCACTCCCAAGCCACAATTCTGTCCCTGTGCTGCAGTGTCAGCCCTTGCCAGCTATGCTGGCCCATCTAAGCCTCTGGAATCCTGAGGCAAGGCTCTCTTTGATTGCCAGTGCTTTCCCATGGAAGTTGGCCATGCTGGGCTGCTCTGCTGACACCATTTTCTTCCTCCTGAGCAGCACTAATGACTGTTTTCATGAACATCCCCTGGATAACCAATAATAAACCTTCTCTAACTCTGCTAACCATCCCTGACCTCCCCTTACTTTGGATTTTGTAGTGATTATCATGTCACCAAACAATTTAGTCCTAAATGACAGGGAGTCCTGAAGAACTCATGGTTGTTAAAAAGTGCATTATGGGGCTTCCCTGGTGACACAGTGGTTGAGAGTACGCCTGCCGATTCAGGGGACACGGGTTCGTGCCCCGATCCGGGAAGATCCCACATGCCGCGGAGCGGCTGGGCCCGTGAGCCATGGCCACTGAGCCTGCGCGTCCGGAGCCTGTGCTCCGCAACGGGAGAGGCCAGAACAGTGAGAGGCCCGCGTACCGCAAAAAAAAAAAAAAAAAAAAAAAGTGCATTATGACAACCTTCCCTCTGGAAAAAGAAGCTCCTCAGAAGAAGGGAGCAACTGTGCTTAACCACCACCCACACCGAGGAACTCAGCAAAGTGGTGAGCACTGAGAAGGTCCCAGAGAGACACTTGTGTGTCTTTGGGGTCCAAAGGATACGCCCAACTTGTCCCAACCAGACGCTGTGACTCAGCCCAGCAAATTAGCTCCAGCTGGGTCTCCTTGGCAGCTATGGGCTCTGGGACTCAGCAGACAGGTCAAGCTCCCACTGCCTGTGCAGGAACCAGGCCAGAGTCAGACCATCTTTAATGCCAGTGAGAGAGGGGCATATAGTCTTGGAGGCCGAAGACCAGAGAAAGAAGCAAAGTGAGCCTCAAAGAGGGAGGCTTTCTGCCTACAAACACTTTAGCAAAGGACTACTCGTGTAGTAGTTCAAGGGCTGTGAAATGTCAGTTGAATTCTTTCAAAGACATGGCATAATAGCATTTTACCGTTCTGCCTAAGAGTTTCATCAAGCTTTATGGGTTTATAATACTTTCACAGCTTTCCCCTCAACCAATGTTCACATCAGTCCTGGGAAGTTGGCTTTAAACCCACTGTCCAAGGTCTCAGTCACCTACTGTTTGAGCTTCGCCTTGAACACAGATCCTCTTATTGCAAATTGACCGAACTTTCCCCACATTATTTCTCCTAAGAAAGAAGTAGCCGAGCTTTACAACCCAATGGCTTGGAGAAGTTCTAACCAGGATGAAAACATGATGCTGATGCTGATCATTAATGAAGATGTTGATAGGATCAGGTGGTAGGCTCATCTGATGGACCTAGTGCTTCACATATTAGATTTTCAGAAAATGAGCTAAGTGTTTTGCTATAAGGTAGGCATGTCTCCATGTATAGATGAGAAAACTGGGGTTCAGGGTGGTTAGGTACGTTGCCTAAGGTTGGAGATGCATAACTGAATTAATATTCCATCCCAAGGCTAGCCAGTTCCAAAGCCCATGTACTTTCTACCACGGAATGCTCCATCATTTAAGTCAGCCTCTAAAGCTGACATGTAGTAGAGACTGGATTTTAAAAAACAAAAGACAGACTCACTGACAGCCCATCCACTCATCCATTATGAACACACAGTCCTCACATTCGAAGTGTAGAAATGTGTCAGGGGGTTGTTAGATGGAGAGGCTCCTGGTATCACTTCCACGGGGCATCAGCAATGAGAACAGAAATATTTTCTTGCCCTTTGAGCGTGGTTCTGCTAAAGGGTTCAA